GGTGGAAGCGGCCGCCTCTAGCCCCGAGCCCGAAGCCGACGCCGCCGCGGCCGTCCCCCCTCCCCGAGTACACGCTCGCCGCCGTCTGGATCCAAGGTGAGGAAACGCGAGCACGGGTCTCCATGCCCTGTTCGCCCCGCGAATCCCCCCTAGACCCGCGACAAGATCGATGTGCCCCTCGCATCGCATCTCAGATCTGCTACCTCGTGATTTCGAAATAGATATCTGTGAATCTGCTTGTCCCGCCGCGCAGTTCCGTTGTTCTTCCTGATGGCACGGGCGTTGGGCGCTGTGATGCGTGTACGGCGTGCCTGCGTATGTGCTGTTTTGCGTCCTAGCTACTACGTAATGCAGTTGTCGGAACTAAGCTACCAATCTGTTTTGTTCTTCTTCTGCAACCTAGCGGAAGACAAGTAGTACGGTCCTGTCCCGCGTATGTACATGTACGGCTGGTTTGATTTCTGAGTACAGAGAGTACTACTTGCTTGCTCTTAGTTCTAACCTAAGTGGCCAATGTTGCTGGATTCTTAATTAGTTAGGTGTCAATTTAGGTGCATATTAGTACAGTACTAGTTATTTTCATTAGTCTGCTCAGTTATCTAAACCCTGGTAATCTGCTTTCGTTTTCATCATGCCAATCGACTCGAAAATTCCATGGACCAAATCTACCTGGCAGTGTGTTAATTATCTACATGATCGTTTCATCATTTTTAGCTAAAGCAGCATGTAATTGGATCCTTATTGTCAAACAGCATGTAAAGAATCTCTCAAGGCTTCAGTGCTATTCAGGACATTTATGCTCCACAGTTCAGACAGCTAGTTATAAAATGACTTTACTTCTTTCTCATAGCACACAGCCCACAGCTACTTTCCTGCTGACACACAGCTGAACCAAACACAGCCGTAGTAACATTACACATTAATTTTTTTCTTGTGTTTGGTTGAAGTCCTGTTATGTTGTACTCCCTCCGTCCAGAAATACTTGTCATCAAAATGAATCAAAGGGGATGTATCTAGATGTATATTAGTTCTACTAGATACATCCCTCTTTATCCATTTTGATGACAAGTATTTTCAGACGGAGGGAGTAACTGCCAGTTGTGTCATTGATTTCCTATGTAAAACGATCACTTTCAGCGAAATGCTTGTCTTTACCAATTGACGATGTTGTTTGTCAACTGTAGACTTAACTATGTTTTACTACTTGGTGTTTTGTTGTATCCTTGGTGATAGTAGTGTTGGGTACCCTCAGGGACAGGCCCTTCAATTGCTCCACTAATTTCATTGTTTACTTATTAATACTCCATTACTTCCTGTAATCTGGGATCATGCTAATTCCTACACTTGTTGATTTACCAGCAGGTTATTGTGTGAAGTGCCACGTGTCCACATGGCTTCAGCGGCGCAAGATTTCCAGCCCCGGACATTCTCCATCAAACTGTGGCCACCGAGTGAAAGCACTCGTCTGATGCTTGTAGAGAGGATGACCAAGAACCTGTCCTCTGAGTCAATCTTTTCTCGCAAGTATGGCCTTTTGGGCAAAGAAGAGGCCCATAAGAATGCCAAAAGGATTGAAGAGATGTGCTTTGCTTCTGCAGATGAGCATTTCAAGAAGGAGCCTGATGGTGATGGGAGTTCTGCTGTCCAGCTATATGCAAAAGAAACAAGCAAGCTGATGCTGGAAGTCCTCAAAAAAGGTCCGGGGACGACTGCGGAACCAGAAGCACCTGTTATTGATACACCTATTGAGCCTACTGATACTGTGTTTGATATATCTGGTGGCAAGCGTGCTTTCATTGAGGCAGAAGAAGCAAAGGAACTTCTGAGTCCACTAACAGAACCAGGAAACTCATATAGCAGGATTTGCTTGAGCAACAGGAGCTTTGGTATTGGTGCTGCCAATGTTGCCGGGCCAATTCTTGAATCAATAAAATCTCAGCTCAAGGAGGTAGATATTTCAGATTTTGTTGCCGGAAGACCTGAGGATGAAGCCCTTGATGTGATGCGGATATTCTCCAAAGCTTTAGCAGGGTCTGTACTGAGATACCTCAACATCTCTGACAATGCTTTAGGCGAGAAGGGTGTGAGGGCATTCACAGAGCTGCTAAAATCACAGGGCAACCTGGAAGAACTATATGTGATGAACGATGGCATATCAGGGGAAGCTGCTAAGGCTCTGTCTGAGCTTATTCCTTCAACTGAGAAGCTTAAGGTTCTCCACTTCCACAACAATATGACTGGTGATGAAGGTGCTATGTTCATTGCTGAGATGGTCAAGCGTTCTCCAAATCTCGAGAGCTTTAGGTGCTCTGCAACAAGGATAGGATCTGATGGTGGAGTGGCATTGGCCGAGGCACTGGGGACATGCACTCGTCTGAAGAAGCTTGATATCAGGGACAACTTGTTTGGCGTTGAGGCAGGGGTGGCTCTCAGCGAAACGCTTCCAAAGCTTGGAGATCTTGTTGAGCTGTACCTCAGCGACCTCAATCTCGAGAACGAGGGCACCATAGCAATCGTGAATGTCCTCAAAGAGTCTGCACCTCAGCTGGAGATCCTTGAGATGGCAGGAAATGAGATAACCGCCGAGGCAGCCAAACCTCTGGCGGAATGCTTGACAGCAATGCAGTCGCTCAAGAAGCTGACCTTGGCTGAGAATGAGCTGAAGGATGCTGGGGCGGCGGCGGTCGCGAAGTCTCTGCAAGAGGGCCACCCAGATCTGAGGGAACTTGACGTGAGCACCAATCTGTTTCAGAGGTCTGGAGCCCGCTGCTTTGCCCAGGCGGTCGCAAACAAGCCTGGGTTCGTGCTGCTGAACATGAACGCGAACTACATCCCTGAGGAAGGGATTGACGAGGTGAGGAAGATCCTGAAGGCAGGCGAGAACTCGGCGGACGTGCTTGGCCCGCTGGACGAGAACGAGCCCGAGGGGAACCCTGATGACGAGGACGAGGAAGAGGATGATGATGATGAGGCAAAGTATGGGGACGATAATGGGAAGGATGCTGGTCTCGGCTCGAAGCTGCAGGACCTGAAGGTTGAGGCGGAGGAGGACTAAGCCCCCCCCCTGCTTTCGTCGTTTACTCCGGTTTCAGCTTATGAAATGTTTGCTGGACCGGCTGGAATTTCGCAGAATGATAAGAAACTCGTCGCTGTGGCCGGCTCAATTGTGTTTGAACCGAGCCGAGCAGCCTGTTTTGGTGTAGCCTGGCGCGGTTTGGTTTATCTGTAACTTTGGTTGGAACCTTTGTTTTTTTTTTTCCATGTTTTTAGCACTGTCTTGGTTCTCTGGTCGAGGTCGGGCCTGGACCCTTAAATCAAACTGTGATATGTTGGGAACCTATCTATATCCTGTGACCTCTCTTTCGAAGCTGTGATACATGTGGCGTGCATTTTTATTTCTTCTTGTTTCGGTGCTGCAGATTATGATTTACGTGCCGTGCTCTCCACGAGCACACGCCTGAAGGCCTTGCTTTCCACAACCTTTTCACCATCCACCTCATTCAGTTTCCCAGCGAAATGCAGAGCAGCAGGAGTGTCTTCCAGGTAGCTCTCGGATAACGGAGTAGTAGTCGCCTATTGAGACTCCCACACTCCATCAATCCATTTGTTGGAATATTCCGCATTAGCGAACGTGCGAACCTACGAATGATAACAATAACCTTATCCAATCCCTTTAGCTGACGCATCGGTGCCCCATTTTCTCGCTGCAAGTCGTTTTCGTTTTCACTTGAATTGAAAACCGTTGCGCAATGGATCGTATCCTCCCACACTTTTCCCTTGGATTGGATAACAGCTTCCGTTTCAGTACCATTTTCTTGAAGGATTCTGCTTGCTCTTGGTGATGGGCTCTTATCTGGTATTACATGAAGGATGGATCAAACAAACGATTCCCGATATCCGAGCATGTATCCAGTCCCTCCCCGTGCAAGAGAACCGTCAGTCAGATAAACAGATGGAAAGCACGACACGCGGCGTTTGCTCGCCTGCTCATCTCTCCCCCGTGAAAAAACGCAGAGAGCAGTATATTATCTCTCCAAAGCAATGGCGAATTCTTCACGTTTCAGAAAAGCTTATCGTCCTTGTCGAATATGCGCAGCGTGCGTGGAGCGTGGTAGACAGACGCAGATTCCATCCTTCTTTTTCCCGGGCGGGCACGTCAAAGTAGCATTCCATCCGTCCCCAACTCTTCCGGCGCTCTCGTTTGTCCGGTCCCACAAAGAAAATGCCGAGTCTGCTAAACCGTGCCAAAATTCCTCTGCCGTTCACGGGCGCTGCTGATCCGTCCCTTTTCGTCCGCCCGGCCCGGTCGCCACGGTACCTTACCTTGGACACGGTGCCACAGCAGTGGCATGGCGCGGGCCGGACGAGAGACGACAATGCAAGCCCTTGGCGCCATCGCCCATCGACGGACGGACGACGATGCCTCCCCGAGAAACGCCGCGGGCTCAGTCGCGCTGTCACGCGCGCCAAGAGGGAGAACCGGATGCGGCATGGCTAGAATAGATAGATACTCCTACCAGTCAGTAGGAGAAAGCGACGCGGGGTGTCTGCAGCTGCAGCGCCGATGCTGAGGCGAGAGGAGACGAGTCGCTCGCTGCCTGAAAGCCACTTGCACGGCTCGCTCGGGTTCTTGAAAGATGGAAACAAGAGCAATGTTGTTTGGCTCCTCATTCTTGTTGATCAGCGTCCGACAGCGACGATTTCATCATTTCCTCCGGATTGTTTTATGCGTGCGTGCGTGTGTGCGCTATGACGGCGGCGGCAATGGTGGAGACGTCGACGATGCTCCCCTCACCAACAGCAACAGTGCTCGGCGAATCAACGGGCTGGAGAATGTCAAGTTCGGTTGCACCATCTGTTCTTTTTTTTTTTGAAGCTCCACCATCTGTTCTTTAATCATGTTGTTTTATTAATAAGCTGTCGACTTCTTTGGCACAAATAGAGGCCGATTTTCTATTGCTTCCTACGCAGGCCCAGATGATTTTCGGTAAATAAATCGGTTTAATCACGAACGAAACGTAATAGCATCGGACGAATGTTTACTTGGTTCACAACTATAGTTACCTTTTTTTTTTGCGGGAACAGAACTATAGATATTGTTCCCTGGAATCAACGACTGGAAGAGGTTCTTCTAATCACTCGAAACAACACCTATATCCAATATACAAGAAGAAAATAATCATCATCAGAAAGGTAAAAGAAGCACATGTCTAACAAATGTTCAGTTAAGGTTCCTTGGAACTTTCTTGGTTCCTTTATTGCACTTCAAAGTTCACATAATTTTTTCAGTAAAGTGCAAAGGCGTTCTAACTTTCTGCATCTGCGTCAACTAAACAAGGAAGCAATCATATGAAACGGCCCAGCAGATAGAGCACATATTCCTCGGCAACCATTCACTTCACGCAACATCGCAGTATTACCCCCCGTTTAACATCCGAAAGCAGCTCAGAAATGAACTTTTTAATGGATGGTTGGTGCACTACCGCAGGTGGATACTCCCTCTCTAAGGAAATATAAGAACGTTTAAGATCACTACTTTATTTTATCTATAAACGTTCTTATATTTCTTTACATAAGAAGTATTACTTGCTCCGAGCATCACAACACTTTCTTGAGATGTTTTTTTCGGAGTACGCAAATTGCGTACCATGGCTTTATAGAAGCAGAGAATTGCAAGTACAAGACGACTACCACTCGCTGCGAACAACGAGCGTAGCACTCACTCCACAACCAGCTAGTCAAAAGACAACCAACAACGACAACACAACTACGATGCAAAAGACCCTACCCTAATCCGAAAACCTCGCCGCGTCTTGACCGACGGCAGTCACCTCCGAAGAACAGCAGGTCTCGCCAAGCTTCCCTCGTTAATGCACAATCCCCTCTTGAAGCCTAAAGGAGGTGGCAAGAGGATGGCAGGACTCGATCCGACCCGAGAAAGGCACCGTCTTGGATTCACCACCGATGACCGTACATTGCGCCGGAGAAGAACGAATAAGGGCAGAGGCGAACACCGGTGGAGTGCCACATAGGACCTCCAAACCATGTCTCCTGGCACGATGCTCCCAACGGAGAGACGACATCGAAGACGCCGCCATCATGCCGATCCCACACCGAATCAAGGCTTTCGCCAGAGACAACGACCAACACCAAGAAGACATGGGAAATGGCGACACACTCGGCGACACCCTCAGGTGCCCGCCGGCCCGGCCATAACCGGACAGGATTTTCATCCGTAATGTCACTCATCTCCACGCCTCAAGGTTTGGGGAAGCACTGTTCATGAACCCTCACACCGCCGTCACCGCAACAATTTGCCGACGAAGCTGCACAGCCGTGACCCTCCCACACCAACACTACCAAGAGAACACGCCACCAACAATCCAGACTAGGAGCCGCCGCTCCTGCCACGCTGTGCAAGAGCCTGCTCCACCACGCCGGCCTTCACTCGCATCAGGGGACTGCCAGGCGATGGAAACAACCCCAAAGACCAAGATGGAATATGAGACGATTCGGATCCGGCCCGCACCTCCATCCACAAATCCAACGCCCGCACCTACGAGAGCACCACCGCAAGCCCCTCACGAGGAGGCAGCCGGCCGCCCGCTGCCTGCAGGATCTCCTTCCTGGTTGCGCCTCCTCGGCGCCGCCGCCTCCATGGCTAAGCTCGCGCCGCCGCCGCCATCAGCGCCCACGCACCACCAACTTCCACCACTCTGCAGCAGCTCGCCTGGATCTGCCTCTCCGTCGCGCTCTCCACCGTGCGCCGATGACCATCGCGCCACCGGCCACCCCACCAGCATGGCTGCCCCAGAGACGTCCCACTCCGCGCGAAGGAGATCAGTCGGGGGGTGGGGTGGGGGGAGGGAGCAGTCAATCTGAGGGTTTGGCTGTTCTAGGATTGGAGAAGCCTACGGAGCCGCACGCGCGTGCGACCCGGGAGGCGAGAGCCTTTCTTGAGATGTTGAAATATGAGTTTGCTTGTCAAAAATTGGGAAGAGATACCACCTTTGAGCTACTACCTCCCTCCCTTCCATAATGTAATGCGTATAGTTTTTTTTAAGTCAACCTTTCTAAACTTTGATCAATTTTATAGAGAAACTATTTATATCTACAATACCAAATATAGAAAAAACTAAAACTACTTATCATATATCCCTTGTTCAAGAATTCATCCGATTAACCAGTTAACTTGTTGATTAATATCTACTCGTAGGGTCACCGAGTAGCCTATAAACCGATAAATCGTTTGATTAATTGATTAAATGGTCGATTAACTTGCCGATTAGCCAATCAATCCCTTACTCACCAGCCAACTGAGCAGCTACCAGTTAACGATTTCCTCAACAATGCATATATCTAACGACATATGTTTGTCATTCTAGATGTAAATATGTTTCTCCACAAACTTGGTCAAAGTTTATGAGGTTTGACTTTTCAAAAAATATATATACAGTACATTATGAAAGGGAGTGAGGATGTTACACGTAGCAAAAACAATTTCATAGGAAACTACATTCAAATACAAATCCAACAACATTTGTTTGGTGACATGCATTAACATTTTGCTAGTCAAATACTGATCAAACTTTGAACCCAAATATGATGTGGACTAATTAACTCAGACGAGGGCACAAATTCAAAATACAGTTGAAATCCCAATAAAGATCGCACAATGATATTGAAGGATCTGCGTATTCAAATTAGAATTCCAATTCTAAACGAAAACCCCTTTCATAAAGGGAAGTAGGGCAAACAAAAAAGGTAGGGGTAAGTTGGGAGTACATCTTGCTCCTGATCAAGACCGGTGTATAATTCAATTTGCAACCGGTGTATAAGCTACTAGAAATGTGGCGGTTTTGCTTTCCGCATTCCATATGATGTAGAATAGATGAGGTATCCGCTGAGCCACGTCCTCAGGTTGTCATCTAAATGCTTCAAACATAGTACATCCACCAAGGGGAAGGTGTACACCGCTCCCAAAGTATATGGTTGTCCATTCAAGAGAGCACCAGCAGGTAGACCGCAAAGGTGTGGGCAATCCAAACATAGATG